TTCGCTTCCTCCTAACAAAGTAATTTAATGTTTTTTAGTTAATTTCTATCTGGCTAATTAAATTTCTACAGTAACTCAATGATTTAATTATTTCATTTGTTCATCTTACTAAGAAGAATTGTTTCAAAAGTGTTAAACTTTTTAAACTACATGAAGCATAAAACAGTTATTGAAAAAACTTTTTCATTTATAAATAAATCATCTAACGTTAGTTTTATTGGTTGAATCTTGTTGGACTTTTCAGGGCCGGGGGCTGCATTATTTTGGCAGCCTTTTTTATGTGCCACAGCATAAAAATGACTAAAAAAATACCGAATGGTCCTCTTGACTATTTCTCCTAACATTGTGAGTCCCAGGGCTATAGCCCTACTACCCCACCCCACCTCCTCAATCCGCAACTGGAAATAAGACATAAGTATATAAATAAAAATTATATATACTCTGATAAATCGAAGAACATTTGTTTCTTTATAGTTGTTACTTTATATAAAAAATGTTGCTTAATTTTATTTTATATTAATTATAAAAGAGCGACGTTTCAAAAATAATTGCTCTACTAAATTTATTTTTTTTCTACTAAATTTAAGTTTTTTCTACTAAACTTAAGTTTTTTCTCGTTAAAAGCTTTTTTTTTCTTTTTTTAACTGTCTCTCATCGGTCCAGTTAATCTTGTTGCGCTTTTTTGTTTATTTTTGAAATGTTCTCAAAATAAAATAAAAAATCTGGCTGGTTTTTCGCAACTAAATATTATTTCTGTGGTCAATTATTGAGTGCGATTGCACCCGCTTTCTGACCAATATATATATATATATATATATATATATATATATATATATATATATATATATATATATATATATATATATATATATATATATATATTAGGGTGGTCCATAAAACAACTTTTTTGAGAAAAACCTGCTGACACCCCCTAAATGTGTTTTATCTAATGCAAAAACACTAGGTTTAAAATTTTTTTGAACAAAAATTATTTTTAGGGGTAGCTCAAGGCCCTCAAAAATTTGACGGGTCCCTAATATTTTGAAAAAAAAACTTTTTCTAAAGTATGTCAACCTGGTACTCAAAAGAAGCGATATTGTATAAAAACTTCAAAAATAATAATCATTTTACATAAAAAACATGCCTAAAAAAAATTATTCTCAAAAAACCTGAAAATATTGACTTTTTTTATTTTCAGCTTAAAAACAATAGTTTTTATGCATTTATACCTAAAAAAATTATTTTTATAAAAAATTATTATCATTTTTAAATTTTTTATATAATTTTGCTTATTTTGAGTACCAGGTTGACATACTTTAGAAAAAGTTTTTTTTTCAAAATATTAGGGACCCGTCAAATTTTTGAGGGCCTTGAGCTACCCCTAAAAATAATTTTTGTTCAAAAAAATTTTAAACCTAGTGTTTTTGCATTAGATAAAACACATTTAGGGGGTGTCAGCAGGTTTTTCTCAAAAAAGTTGTTTTATGGACCACCCTAATATATATATATATATATATATACATATATATATATACATATATATATATATATATATATATATATATATATATATATATATATATATATATATATATATATATATATATATATAAACACACTCATGCCTTAGTAGAAGAAAATAAGTGAGAGAGCGGAGAAAAGCTCTACTAAAACGAACATGGCAAGCCATGCGAACAGCTTCTCTAAACATCTTCTTACAAAAGCTTTTGGTTTTTGCACGAGCTATCTATTTATTCATTAAAAAATTGTTTATTAAATACAAATTTTAGCTTTATAATTGTTTTGGTGCATGGTCATATGATGTGAAATCACACACCTTCCTGGCCAAGCCTATATATATATATATATATATATATATATATATATATATATATATATATATATATATATATATATATATATATATATATATATATATATATATATATATATATATATATATATACATATATATATATATATATATATATATATATATATATATATATATATATATATATATATATATATAAATATATAAATATATATATATCAGTGCTTGAATTAAGTGATCACAAATTGCAATATCCGGAAATATATATGGTCAATAAATTCTTAGGTTTTTTAAAAACCGTTAACACTGTTTTAAAGAAACGGTCAGTTTAGCATATTGCAAAAATTAATGAAAAAGCAAAACAATAAGTTTACTATTGCAAAAATAATAACAGTCAAAATTTACATATTATTAGTTATTGTTTTTTTAAGCAATAATTAATAATATGTAATTTAAGGATTATAAATAAAAAAAAGTTTCGTGGTAATTTAAAAATTAACCAATGAAAAACTATGGTTAAGCTTTTGGCGCATTGTTTAAAACTTTGTATATAAAAACAACCAATTAAAAAGTATGCTAATTTAAAAATTAACCAATAAAAAACTATGATTAAGCTATTTGCGCATTGTATAAAACTTTGTATAAAAAAACAACCAATTAAAAAGTATGCTAAAGCATACTTTTCAATTGGTTACTTGCGCATTATATAAAACATTAAAATAGATTTTTATTTAGAGGGAAAATTTATGGAATTATTTCTTTAAAAATTTAAATGTTTTAAATTAGAATTTAATTATTTAATAAGAAAAAAAATTATTAAGTGCATTTTTTTAAAATATGTTATTAGAGTTTCTTTTTTTGTTAGTTTTAAAGTAACTATTAAAAAGTTTAAATTAGTTTTTATACATAAACTCCTCCGTCTTTTAATTTTATATTCATATCAGCTAAATTAAATTTTAAAAATATAATTTTTACAGTTTTATGGAACAGAGTTATGCAATCAAAATTTTTGTCATGTTATTCAGTTTATTTATAGTTGTAGAAACTTCACTATTATTATAGTGAAGTTGTAATTTCTTTCCTAATTATTTAGAATAATTCATTGTAAATTTTTGCTTTTTAATAAAATAGTTTAAATTTAATATTGTACGTGTGTTTTAGATAGACTTTTTGCGCAGTAACTGAAAATGCTTATTTTTTTCTTTACAATTTGACAACGTCTGTTTTGATGTTTTAACAATTTATATACAATTTAAAAAACTGTTACATTACTAATAACTTTTAATCATTGATCTTTTTTAAAGTTTGTATTTTATGTGAAGGCTTTTAATAAAATCAAATCAGAAATTAATTATAATGATCGTTTTAAAATAAATGCATTATATGTAATTTAAATGTTATATACAAATTCCTTTTTATTAGGTATGTATTTTTAATGATAAATTTAAATGTTCAAAACTATTTTTCGATGTCGTTCTAAAAATCTTTTGAAAGATTTTTTTTTTAAGTTACTTTAAATTATTTTTAAAATTATCTTTAACCTCAGAATAAAAACCTCAAATATCACCAACTATTTTTTATACTGATTATATAGATTGACTATTGATGTTTTTCAAAAGTACCTTTTCAATTCAATTTTCAATTCAAAAGATACTCATTTTGAAAGACATAATTTTTACAATAACATTTAACTAGAGTCATTACATAGACTTATATATAGGCCACCAAAAAATAACATAAATCCAATCTGCATAAAAGTGGACATGTGAGGTTTTCATTCTTCAATTATGAATAGGTTAAATTAAATCTTCCCACAATTTACTTGCTTTTATTTTTGAGTTTCTATTTTACAAAGAATTGTTTAAACATTTTTTTTTAAACTTAACTTACTAATTAAATCATAAAATAAATAAAAGTTACGATATTAAAAAAACAACGTTATTTTTTGAATTAATTTTTTTTATGCAACTTTTTTGCAATTTTTTTGAAAAAAATGTTTATACAAATTAAAAATAATATTTTTTTTTCTTTTCAATAATAAATTTGTTCATTTATTAAAAAATCATTAAAAGTAGTTTGCAAAAGCGTTTTGCGTAACTTATCAAACATTTTAAAAGATCAGTTTTAAAGTTTTTTCAAATGCAAATAATAACGTAACAAAGAGTAATTTCTACTTCTAGTTTTTTTAATTTTATTCTAAAGCTAATTTGTTTTCATAAGGAATTATTTTGGTTATTCTTTAGTTTTTTAATTATTTTTTTCCTAGTTTAAGTTTAGATTAACTTTTTTTTTTCAGTGCATTTCTGAAATGTTTAAATCATCAAAATATCTAAACAGTAGTGGTCAATTTATTAACAAAAAAAATCATTTGGTCACAAAATTGCAAAAGCATTTGATCGCACGCCATTCCTGTCCAAACTTTATTTTGTAAAATTTAATTTCAGTCGGTCAAAATGTTGGATTACTTTGTAAATTGAGCGGACCATCTGAGGTGTTAGCCGGACAATGTCCGACCATTAAATTGAGCCCTGCAAACTGGTATTGCAAACTTTAACAGTGGTCGCATAAAAGAAACATTAAGTATTTTCAAGAGTCTAATATCTAAACAAACGAAGATTTTCTAATCCGACCCAACATTTGTTTAGCTTTGCCTACGCATTTTATTACATGATTTTTCCATTTCAGATTGCTTGAGAAGATCACTCCAAGATCAATTTCAGATTCTGTGATGCTTAATTTTTGCTCATTGATATAAAAGGGTGATTTTTAATATTCCGGTTAAAGTGCATGACCATACACTTCCAAATATTAAATTCCACAAGCCAGTCTTGAGTCCACTTAAAAGCTAAATCAAGATCTGATTGCAAAGAAAGAGTTGATGCACAGGAAAAGATTTTATTCAAAATTTTGGTAAATTTAAATTAAAATATCATTTGCAGCAAAACCTGACAATTTTCATATTATTTACTAAACTTGCAAATAACTTATGCTTTATTTTGTACATTAAATCTCTTCAACATTTTATTATTTGACTATGAAATAAGCAACAGCCTTAACTTGTGGCAACTTATATTTACTAAAAATATTCGATACTGATCCACAGTGGATCAATATCAATAATTATTGTAATAAAAAATAAAATCTGTTAAACTACAGTAAAATCTACCTCTTTGACTTTGGTACTGAATGACTACTCCTGCGATCATTACTTTTAGAACGACTTTTCCTACGCCTCCTATCACGACTTCTGGGAGAACTTTTAGATCTTCGTTCTTTATCTCGGCTTCTTGACCGACTTCTGTGTCTTGAATCTAAATAGAGGGTTTTCTGTAAACAAACAAAAAAAATATCATCAGCAAATTATATTTGAAATCTTATAAAATTAAATAACATTTAATCATTAAAATAAAAAAAAGATAAATCTTAAAAGTAATTGTTAATATGTAAAATATTAAAAAGTAGTACATACATACATACATAAATACAATGTATGTATATATGTATGTATGTATTACATACATTCATACACACATACATAAATACATACATACATACAATGTGTGTATGTATTAGATACATACATACATACATACATACATACATACATACATACATACATACATACATACATACATAGATACATACATACATACATACATATTAGGGTGGTCCTTAATACAAAACTTTTTAGAAAAGTCTGCTTTTATTTATTTTTTGATTTTATTTTCACATATTAAAAATGTTCTATATAATAACACAAAAATTAAAAATTTTTTGAACAAAAAATTACTTTAACAGGGCTCAATTTAATCTTTTATAAACCCCCAGACAAAATGTCCGATCAAAACCTATTTAGGTCAGACTTTATAATTTTTACAGCTTTACGGAATCAAGTTATCCAATCGAAATCTGTGTCCTATTCTTCAGTTTATTTAACATTAGTCCAAAGAAGTTACTTTCCTTATAGTTTTGAATATTTCATCACATATTTTTTGTGTGTGTGTGTATATATATATATATATATATATATATATATATATATATATATATACATATATATATATATATATATATATATATATATATATATATATATATATATATATATATATATATATATATATATATATAAAAGTTTCAATTCAATACTGCCGATTTTTAGATTTTAGTAATGATTTTTAGATTTGGATTTTAGTGATGTTTTTTTTTTAAAATTTGATGACAGCTGTTTTTATGTTTTAACAATTTAAATGCAATTAAAAAAATCATTAAATTACCAACAACTTTTAACTGTTGATCTTTTTAAAGTTTTTGAAGGCTTTTGAAAAATCCAAAATTTATTATAATGATTGTTTAAAACAAACACATTAAGCGTAAATTAAATGTTATATTCAATTTTTTTTTAGTAGGTATGTATTTTTTATGATAATTTCAAACGCTTAAAACTATTACTCTATATCTTTCTAAAAATCCTTTAAAAGATGATTTTTTTTGAGTTACTTTAAATTATGAACAAGTTAAATTAAGTCTTCCCATAATTTAATTGCATTATTATTAATATTTTTTTTTTCATTTCTATTTTTACAAAAAATTGTTAAAAAGTTTTTTTTTAACTTGACTTAATAATTAAAGCATGAAATGATTAAAAATTACTATTTTAAAAAGACCACCATTTAATTGAGCCCTGCTTTAAGGTGCTCCAAGACCCTTGAACATTGAACTGGTTCCTAATATTATCAAAAAAAGTTTTTCAAAAGAATGTCATGTTAGGTCCTAAATGATGTGAAATTATATAATAATTTAAAGGGATCCCTAACTGCTTATAAAAACAATTGTTTTTATAAGTAGTTCTTTGCATTTCTTATTGTTTAATGATGCATGTTAAAAAATTTATTATTATCAAATTTGAATTAATTGTCAATTTTACGCTATTCAAATATTCGAACAAGTTAATGCAATTTTTTGTTTTTATATTTATGTTATAACTATTTTTTGTATATTTTAGTACAAATATTTGCCTTCACTATAATTTAGTTTAATTTAAAGGGTTATTAGTATAAAATTTGTTCAATATTTTATTTCTACTTAGTTCAGTTTATATGTTTTATTCAAGTAACTCTTTTTTTATTCAGTTTATACTTTAAATTAATTTATACGCTTTAGTAAAATTATCCTTTTAGTATCTAGTTTATATTTAGCTCAAACCATTAGTACGTTTTACTGTAAATATTCATTATATATTAAATTTTTATTTTTATAAATTTTATAGATTTAATTTTTAATTGCATTAAAACTTTGATGATTGTGGCAAAAAAATAATACGACAGCTTGAAAGAAAAAATTTATATGATGACATCATATACAGAAATGAATTAAAAACGCATAGAATAAATTATCAAGTCTGTAGATGGCGGCTAACATTATACAGACTCTGAGACTCAAAAAAAAAAATGGAGACGGCGAGCTTCAACTAAAACATGAATTTTAAATTAAATGGTGAGCATCATTATATAGTTTTAATAAAAAAAATTTAGCCTAAATGTTTTTTTTAAACATTTTCTTTAATACAAACACAACTTGTCTCGGCAGTTGGGAATCCCTTTAAAAAACAATTATATTTTTCAAAAAAAATTTTGATTAAAATATTATTAAACAAAACTTTTCAAAATGAACTTTTATTATTTTTAGTTAAAACAATTTGAAGCATAAATTTTAATTATATAACTTCTTCAAAACTCACAATTTTGCTTCTTTTTTCTTATTAATCTCTCACGTGGTCAGTTATGCACTACTTTAATGTTTTTTATTACACCTCACCCTAAAAAATTACGAAAAATTATTTTATTAACTGTTCAGCAGAAGCATATTGCTAGTAGTAACCATTATACATAGCTAAAACAATTCAAGGATTTGAGACTATAAAAATAGAGATTTCCAGATCCCCAGATTTTAATATTGAGAATATAAAGCTTTTTATTAAAAAAAAAAAAAAAACTTTTTATACAAATAAATCTAAATTAATGATTTTTATAGCAGTTTTCCGTTTAAAATTTAATGCCAGCGTATGAAAAAGCGTTGACTGGATCATTATTAGGTCATTATTAGGCTGACGTGCACAATTTTAAAAATTTATCTTTAAATTAAAAAGAACAAAGACAATGCTTTGAACAAATTCTCAACTAAATAATAATAAAAAAAACTGCAAAATAAAGGTTTTTTGTTTTAATTCTAGATAAATTAAAAACGGCAAAAAATAAAAACATTTTATATAAATAATAAACAAAATATTAAAATAAAAAAAAAGTTAGACAAACGCTTTGTTTAAATTTTAAATAAAATAATTGAAATAAAATAGGCAAAAAAAAAAAAAAACTTTATTCAAATATTAAACAAAACAATATAAATAAAATCAGAAAGAAAAACATTTTATTTAAACTCTAAATAAAATAACTAAAATAAAAACATAAAAACAAAAAGTTTTATTCAAATTCTAAATTAAAATAAAAACAGCATTTGCCATTTCTATTTTAATTATTTAACTTAGAATAACAGAATTAATTTTAGGAATATATATATATATATATATATATATATATATATATATAATATATATATATATATATATATATATACATACATATATATATAGTTTTTTTTAAATAAGCATTCTCGTTACAATATTTAAAATACAAATATATAATAATAAAAAAATATATATATAATAATCGTTAAATAATAAAAGAATGCGGGGATTCATAGAAGACCATTCGGTTTTGTCGTCGAGTACCGCTAAGAAATGTTCGTGTTAAAACTGATAAGATATTTACAAGATAAGAAATAAGTTAACAAAGTAAAAATCTTAAAATATTCCGTTACAAATACAAGATACATTACACAGGCTTGGTCAGGAAGCGGGAGCGATCGCTCTCGATTGCTGACCACGTAAATAATATTTAGTTGTGAAAAGCTGGCCAGATTTTTTAGTCGTTATGAAAACATTTTAAAAAGCAAAAAAAAAAAAAAACGACAAAGATTAATTGGACCGATGAGAGACAGTTACAAAAAAAAAAAAGTAGACAAATAAAATATCTTTAAACGCGAAAAAACTTTAAGCTAAATAAATTACATTTAGAACAAATATTTTAGAAACATCGCTTTTTTAATCAGCATATTTTTTGAACCAATAGAATTAGTTTGTTTGTTAGTTTGGCGTGTTTTTAGTGTTTGCAAATATTCTTTTTATTCTTTCGCACAAAGATGTTTTGAGAACATTCAAGTTTTTTATGTTTCCATGTATGTCCGTAAAACAAAAATTCTTTGTTTCGTACATAAACTTAAATGTTCTCAAAACGACTAAAAAACCTGGCCAGTTTTACGCAACTAAATATAATTTCCGTGGTCAGTATTCGAGAGCGATCGCTCCCGCTTCCCGACCAAGCCTGATTACATATTACAGTTGTTAATGATACATAAATTTTTTTACAAATTCATGTTTAAATAGAGGGTAAAAAGGAAGATTACTAAAAAATATCAAAAGTATATTGTTAAAACTTTGATTGTAAAAATGAGTTCTTTAAGTTTTCGTTTAAAAGAAAAGAAGTTACTTTGAAAAATAAAATCCTCAGTAAAAATTTTTAAAAATTTTTTATTCCATAAGAATGGTTCGTGATAATCAATACAAAACTTAAAAAGATTTGTTTGAAAAATGGTCTGCTTAACAAAATTAATGTCGCATATAATGTTTTTGTTTTTTTTATTATTTGATGAAACAAATTATGGAAAAAAATTGAGGATGAATTGGTTTTACATTTAAACATAAAACAAAGAATATTTAAAGTATTTAGCTCATAAATATTAAAAACTTTCCTTTCAAATAATAGAGGCTTGGCATGAGTATAATGGTCTTTAAAATATATAAGACATGCTACATGCTTCTGCTGACAATAAAGATGTTTAAGTTTATTTTTATTTGTACTACCCCAAGCAATGTTTGCATAGTTTATGTGACAATGAATGAGTGATATAATTGTATTAATAAATAAATGACAATAAATGAGTGATATAATTGTATTAAAGTATGTTTATTTAAAACATTTCTTGCTTTGTACAATATTCCTATACTTTTTTCAATTTTACTTTATAAGTTTTTAATATGATTTTTCCATGTAAGATTTTTATCTATACAAACACCTAGAAAGTTGGTTACTGTTACTTGTTTAATTTGTATATTGTCAATAACAAGATGACGCATGTTAATTGGCAATGTTTTTTGATAAGAAAATGGAAAAGAATCCAATTAGTTATTTTTGTT